AAAAATGCGCACACATGTCACTATTTTCAGCAGACATACTGTGCATTTTGCGACGAATTTAATGATTTCAGTAATAATAGTCAATAATAAACAGCTTAATATATTCATATATTTTGCTAGTGTGCATAACATGTACATGTACAAATTCATAGCTGATGGTATTTAACATGTACGATGTTGTTATCCTTGCTCGAGTTAGTAAGTTGGGTGACACAGCGCTAGACAGGCGTTAATTCCCTGTGATCTGATCATTTCATTGATTTTCTTTAGGACTATTCTATCTAATATAGTGTTTAATACACACCTGTGCAAATGTGCGTATAATTTAAGCGAAACTCTGGTAATACATAACCATTTAAATGTTATCTAGAAATGTTATATCACAATAAATATAATATGAAAACAAATATTGAACAATAATTTAGATTGCTACTTCTTTAATTTGCAAACATTTTGAGATACCTTTCGTAAGCAGTTTTCGCAACGAAAACATATAACGTGTTGCGTGCTGAGGTAACATATAACAGATAAAAAAAACATTATCATTTTAAAAGTGTTAATGAGCAAAATATGTCAAATGGTGCTTTGTATGATTAAGCACTTCACATCATTGGACAGTAATCATAATACACAATAAATATATCACATAATCAAGGAAGTACTTATTCCTAAATATAAACATTGATAATTAAAATGTATAATAAATAACAATTACAAAATATAATTTGTTTATTATAATAATGACGACAAATCTTATATGTGGATTTCGTTTAGATGAACTTACTATATACACTAAACCATTACACATTTTTGTGATCAGTGTATAGCATTTGTGATTGTAAAATTCTGCTGTGCAAATATTAGGGAATTTAGCAAAATGCAAGATAGCCTAACTTTGGTATGGAAGTTATTGGATGGTAATACTCATCTAAGTGTTTAGTGAAACATCTGGTATTACCTTTTATTGTCATGAAGTTCCAAATGAAGCTTCGGTCTCAATGTATCCTGCTAATTCATCTTGGTCTTATTGTAGCTGTTTTGTAGACACGTCGTGTGAAAGAAAGTTCTTTCAATGTTGCAGCCAAAATGTGAGCAATGAGTCTGTTCGCGATAATTAGGCTTACAAAAATGTTTGTCCCGTACATGCATAAAATTGCA